TGGAAGTGTTAGTCCATGACAATTACTTAGTGCAATATCCCCACAAGATTTTAGCAGAGCCACCAGGACTTACGTCACATGCCAGGCACATGGGACCCAATTGGCTCAGTCTTTAACTAGGTCCCATCAGTATTCTCTCTCTGAGACAGTAGCAGAACTTGCTAATTCAAGTGTTGATAACTTGCTGCATTAACTAGTATCTAGGGAATTTTTCCACCTTTTCCTCCCCCTTTACATTCCACCTATAAAAACCCCACTATTCATAGCAAGGAGGAACAGTCAAGTGGTTACAAGACAAGAGTGGATCAGATTCTTATCATGCACTTTCATCCACTTCCAAAGGCTGACTATTCTTCACAAAGATATTTTAGACATGCATACAGATCAAAATAATTACCTAAAAGTTATATTAATAGATTTAATGAAGAGCTATCAGAGATATTTGAAAGGGTCCTAACAGTCATGATGAGCTGTAGGTTGGCAGGGCTTTATGGAAAGAACAAAATGAGAGGCAGAAAAGGAACTCCTGATATTGTCTAGACTGCCCACACTGTTGTACAGTGTGCCAAACTCTGTGGACTTTGCAGGTGATATGACACCTTGGAGGAAAGCTTGTGGCTTTTCCCACTAAAAATCCTGCTCATGTGTGCAGTAGAATTATTTAGGGATCTCCCACCAACTACAGAGATAGTACCAGAGGGATTTCTGAGGCCCTATGCAGTGGGATGAGATACCCTGCTGAATGGAATATAAAAGCTTGTCTAAACTGAAAAATAGGAAGTATTTATGAAGAGATAAACTTTACTGGCAAAGACAGTGCACATTATTTACTGCAGAAGTTAGTAAGTGCTTGAGGGAGATAAATGACTATGGATGCCATAAAAGAAAATCTAATAACTACTTTTCACCTGCCAGTGTCACCATACCTTTAGAATATCTAGATGCTACTTTCCCAAAAAACTACCTTTTTTAACCATACCATTCAATCCCAGCTAAGCCTGCCCCAAAGAATATTACAATGGTCTCCTCAAACCTTAGATCCACCCTCTGAAGCTGGTGTAGCTCAGAGCTCCTTCAAGTTCAGCTCTTAGCCCAGTCCAGCTCACACTCATTTCATACGTAGAGCAGGAAATTCCACATGCACTGAGATCTCCAAAAAAATCAACATTTTGCATAACTCACTACTAAAAATTAGGTACCACAGATTGCTATGATGCATGATTGTAGAAAAAGATCTTTAGGTTGTCATCTGTCATATGCTCTGGAGAGCTGAAAAAGTCAGAGCAGTAAACTCAGCTGAGATCAAGTCTTACATATTTCACACTATTTCCCCCATCTACTCTCCCCCCTCTTTTTTTCCCCAAAAGTCCAGTATTTCATTTTTTCCATCAATACCTTTTCAGCAACCTGGAACAGAAATTACAACATGCTATCCCAGGATCCTACACTATATCCCACCACAGAGGGCAAACAGTCACTAAGACTAAACACTGAAGAGACTTTGGCTGTGGATATGCCCAAGAGACTTGACGAAGGCTTGGATCTTGCTAAAAGGCAGCTGAGAGAAACTGTTGGTCCATTTTTAAGTGCTCAGTGCTACTAAACAGGCGATTCTTGGTTTAGCAAGGAACCCTAGGGCTTAGTCCTGTCCAGATGTTCACAGTACACTACATTTCCAAGGGTCCCACAGGTACCAGGAGCGGAGGGAGCAAAAGGGAAAGAGAGAAGGCAGGATGTGTGTTGAGCTTAAGCACAGAAGTAAGAAGAAAAGCACTGGCTGAGTTCCAGAAATTATAAATCTGGCCCCACTGAAGTAGACAGGAGCTTTGCCACCATAGAGACAGAATTTTACCCAATGTGAACAGTATTCTGGGAATACCCTCCCTCCAGGCACACTGTGGGAGGTCTTCTGGTTCTGAATAATCACTGGAAACACAGGAAGGGAAATTAAACCCAAACCAAGACAACAATACCAGAATGATTAATCAACAGGCAAAAAAGAACGTAACAATAATGAAGTGAAAAGTGTTGCAGAAGCGGGTGGAAAGAAAATCGCAAGTCCTTTACCTCCTGGACCACTGAACTTTTGTGAGGAACAAGGGATGATGCAAGGACTTGTGGTGCTGGGTGCAGGAGGCCACGTCAAGGCTGCACTGGAGTCCTGGAGTCTGCCCAGATTCAATAACAAGGGGGGAAAAAACCTGAAGTGCAGATTCAGCCTTGGAGTAGACTGGCATCAGTAATGCTATATAGAAAGGCCAGAATCTAGCAACTTCAGCAAAGATTCCTGGGAGCAATCAGTGTCATCACTTACAAATAGCCAGGCAGGCTAGTTCACAGAAAGGGCACGCTCAGCAAGCTCTGTGGCGTGCAGCTGAGCATTCTGAATATAAGGAATACAATAAAAAAGACATAATGCCTATAAAGTTCCATCTACTCTGACAGCTATGACCCAGTTATTTAGCCTACTGTTACCCTCTGATTTAGTTAGCATTGGGATTCATACCACAAATATATATAATGCCCTGGAGGTTGCCCTTTCCCTGCCTTAAGAGTTCAGGTTGCCTACAATGCCAAGTTCTACCTTTTAAACTGCCTGAACCCTCCAAATTCACATGAGGCAACTAGAGAGCCAAATTCCCATAACTGCTGGAATTCAGCCCCCCTAACCAAAGACCTCTTCTTTGCTGCAGCTCTGCTGCAAAAAGGGACTAAGTGACTTTTCTGGGAACTAACTGCAAAATGCACCAGGCTGGATGTGGTGATGATGGCAGGGAAACTTGCACACCCATCACTGACAAATATCCAAGTACTGCATTACCCTTGAGATGAAAAACCCAGGTGAAGATTCATGTCTACATGTCAATGATGAATGAATGACAGCAGCCAACTAAGCATTAAACCAATCTCCCTGAGTGACTGTGTGACAACCACAGGATATGCAGGCATGCATTTGCTTTTGGAAGGTCCCAAGGTGCTTTGAGCTTTCCTCAGGCCTTCCTTCCTCTCAAAGCCACTGGAAAGGCCTGCTTCCCCACCCACACCTCTGACACTGTGAGGATTACAACCCTTACAGAGCTTGGGCCACTTGACAGTTTTCCCTCCCTGTTCTAGTCTCTTGCTCTCTCTCATGTAACCAGGAAAAAACCTCTTTTCACAGTCCTTCCCTGGGCCTGGCCAGTCTCCTCAGGTGATGATGATCTCCTGATGCTCTGTAGTTTGCTGTCTGTGTGCCTGGTCTTGGTGCAAGGTCCTTGTCCATGGGTTCTGCTGCCAGCCCTAGGGATTGTCCAGTCTTCAGGTCTATTGTCCAACATTGTCAAAGGTAAGGGGAAAAACTGAGGGTAAGGTGGAAAACAAAGGGCACCAGGGCAAAATCAGGCATTTATGTAGCCTCGTGGTATTCTCTGGCTCTGAGAAAGCTTTTCACCCACTTACTTAACTGAGCTGGCAACTTGGAAAATGAATTAAAAACGTGTTTGGTCCTTCTGCAATCACTTGAAAGAAGTCTGGAGGCAAGAGAGTGCCTGGAGAGTTACTGAGCTCTTGTGCTCACTGGCAGCCTCACCACCATTGTTACGCCTGCTGAGAAACCAGAAGAGCTGCTTCCCAGCCTGACAAGATCCTGGGATGAAAAGCACAGACTGCTCCTCATGCTGGGCTTGGGGCCAGGCTGCTGGCTTTTCCCAGCATGTGTCATGCAGCTGTGTGTCTAAGGGGCACCCCACGGTCCTCCATTCCAGCCCCAACAGGGTCAATCTTTCAGAGAACTGTGGGGCAAGGACCATTATCCATGAGAGGATCTACTTGCTTCTGGAGTGCTCAAGGGCAGAGCAGAGACCAGCATTTAGCTCAGTCTTTATTACAATGTGATGCCATCTTTCCTTTGTTTTTAAAATCAGCCTTAAACGCATTTCAAAACAATTATTGGAAGGAACAAAATGCCATCTTGTTCTGAACAGCTCTTGCCAGCACTCAAGGAGACTTGAGAAAACTGAATGCCCCCAGATGGCAGCTGGCCATGGAAGATGGCTGGGATTAAAACCTTGCTGCTCACTCCTTGCTGAATCCAGAACTTAGACCATAAAAGGACCACATCTGAAACCTGAAATCCACAAAACAGAAGATAAAAATCTGGGTCACCAGTATCTAAGGTCACAAGTCCAGTCTTTCTAGAAGTTATTTTCACTTCCATGACACTGGCATGACAACAGGAGAAAATGGGATTATCACATCTCTCCACAGAGTAAGAAGAGTAATGTAAAATCATTTCAGCCTAGTACCATCTTGTGTCTCCTACATTTCACATAATATTATTACTTACCTTCTTTTTCATGCCCAGGCCCAGAGCAGTACCTAGAAACCATTGAAAATGTATATTTTTTCCAGAACTTACACAACCTCTACACACAAAACTGTATTTTACCACATTCCTCTACCTCCCTTCAAGTATATCTGATGATTTTCTATAATAGTCTTGTCAATATACCCACTAGTATCAAACAGGTATTTTCTACTGATCTGCTATTTTGCCTAAAAATGCGAATTTTAGACTAGCACAGTCCTTATTCAAAATAACTGACAACATTTCTTTTAAACTGTCAGAAGCAGATTTTCAAGAGAGAACAAAATTTTTAGGAACAGAGAGACATGCAAACATTTTGAGAATTACTTGTTCAAATGGTACCGCTTACACATCTTACACAAGTGAAAACTAAAGACACTGAAAACACGTAAAATTCTCCTTTTGTTTTTGTACAAATCATCAGTGTTGTTTAACTGCACTCAGGCTTTCAAGCACAGGAACTCTGACCATCACTCCAGTACCAGCAGAACACAAGATAATTAAATTTACTTACCCTCTAGATTCCTGCCGGGCTTAAAACAAGGCCATTGCTGCAATGACAAGCCCTCAAAGGCTGCTCGCTAGACATGGCCTTTGTGGTTGGGTCTCCCAAACATTTATTTCAGCGCAAATCCTGCCAGAATTGGGAACTTACTGCTTGTTGTGAAGTTGCCCTCGCCAGGCTGGGGGAAGGAGTCCACGTCCTGGATGACTTGGAGCACTCCCGGGCCGCGGGCCGGGGCGTCCAGGGCCACGGAGCTCTCGTTCACCGTAATGTCGCTGGCCCCCGTGATCTGGTTGGTCGGTGGGCCTCCTATGGATGCTTCCAGGTCCGGAGGTATATCATCCATGCAATCTGCATTTGGCTAATTGGGGAAGAAAAAAGGAGAAAATCGAGCTCCTACCTGATAAAAAGATTTGATTTACTTCTTACCTCCTCTTCAGATTTTTTTGGCTCTACTGCAGTATTGAAAATGACAACATAGAATGAATAAACAGACAGAGTTTGTCTTCATGTACTTAAAACGTAATACAATCTGTTGGAAGAGAGACCCAAAGTATGCCATGGAAATACTGAGTATTAAACTGTGTCACCTGCAATCGCTAAACATTCTTATTTATACTTTTAAAAGGGTTTGGGAATGTGCACATGAAAAAAGTAACTCACTTATTGGTATGATCTGCTCAACATAGGCAGATTGCTGAATTAAATCACAAACGTAAACAGAAACAGGAGCTGAAAGGGAACAATTATATTTCTAATCATTATTTTTTTTAATATACATTTTACAGAGCCACTATCTGAGCTTACAGGAATAAGAATTCAATAAGAACAGCATATGGATGCATCTATGTGTGTGGTGCAAAACTAGAAGCTAAAATTGTTTGCAAGACAAGTTTCTAAACATCAAAACATCATCTTGGCTAATACTATATTTCCTACAAAATACAATTATGAGAAAAGAAACAAGCAGACAAGAATGGGAAACTGAAGAGCATTTTTTGATTCACAGTCTTTCTTGCTATGTGAACCAAGACCAGTGACAGAGGGACAAAGCAAGACTGAGCTGCAACAAGCAGATGCCTTGTTAAGTCGGGAAATGTTAATTTAAGTTGTTCCCATTTATCTCTACTCTCCAGGAACCAGACAGCTAGTCTGGATCAGTCACTTAGGTCTCCTCTAACTTCAGGGGTTGGAGACACTTTTGCTATGTGTTTCATCCCCTAACCCTAGGTATGAATTGCTCCCTCTGCCTTCACTCTGCTCAGCACTAAGCAGAGACAGGGCCTAAGCTGCTAGACTGGAAACCCAACATGCAAATGGCCAATGTCAGAGGAGGTGTACTCTGTTTGGTGGATCTGATTTTTTTTCTATGCTTAGCTGTCTCACATGCCAAGGCACTTCGGAAAATCTCACTATCTGCTTATCTCCAACAGCAGGCACCAAGAAACTAGGCAAAATATGATACAGCAAAGGCTTAAAGAGAGATTTAACTTTAAGCACAAGAGAAACCCCCTTGAATTCAAGTACAATAGGTTACCACATGTTAACTTCTTTTTTCCCAGAACGAGAAAATTAACATGTTTTCTCTTGTTCTACCCATTCCCTGTTTGATTGTTGTCACCTCTTAAGTATTTTTTTCACAAGTGTTCCTAATGAAAAAGACAGAAAATTTAAGCAGTCTTGTATCCACAAACTGAAGTTTGGAACGAAAATTAGAATTGTTGTTGTCTGGCTCCAGTGTTATCCACAAGCTGCAAGAATGCCTCAGGTTTGGGATAAAAAAGGCACATTCAACTGTACCAGGTGTTAAAGAAACTCAGTGAATCTGTACTTTTGCAAGTCAAGTACCATCACTTATATGTAGGACAGGGACCCAAAACTCTCCCTTAGATCTATTATGCTTTCCCTCTCCCTTGGCTAACATAAACCACTGTTTTCAGAATTTCATTTATAATTTAATTTACCTTTGATGGCAGTGTATATTAAAAACAAAAGGCCTATTTTCCTTTCTCCTATAGGAAAAATTATTTCAATTTTTCAGGGGACCAGTTGCCTGTCCTTTGCTCTGATTCCATTTATTCCTAGAATGGAGTTTTATCACAGACTTTTATACCTTTTAAAGAGGGGATTATAACTGAAAGTCAAACCGAACATTAAAGATAGAAAAATAATATTGCTTGAGATTAAATTATCTCTTTACTCCTGAATCATTTTAATTGACAAAATGCCCAAAACTAAGCAGCATGCTATAAAACTATTTATATTAAATTCTGATCAGAAAAAAAACCCAAACCATTTTGGCTTTGGCTGCCAGAGTGACCCAGATACGGTTGCTAAGTTTAATTACATTGGTTCCACTTGAGCTCTGCATATAAGTGCTTTGAGAGCACAATTCCACTAAAGTCAAGGGAAAGCTTTGTATTGGCTTCAGAGGGTTTGGCTAAGGCTCTTAGTGAATAGCTTAAAGCCACACAATCTGCTGCCAAAAACGCAGCTGACTGCATATCCAGCAGATGTTTGCAGGACAGCAGGAGAAGCAGAGGGAAACTATTTAACATGATATGACTGTCCCAAGAGCAAGATAGACCTTTGAAAGACACTTTCACTGGTAATCCTTTTCAAATACTGCAGGTGTAGTCTGAGCTGGATTTGCCAGCCAAGAGCGGAAAAAGTCAGGCCAACCATTTGCTGGTAGATAGTTAATAACCTTCTGGAGCTGCAGAGAAAAGTGGAGGTGTTGGGGTGCTCAGCTGTTGTTATTCTATTTCTAGAGTCCCACAGTGTTATTATCAGATCTCTAAAGTCCCATACCCTCCATGGTGTGTTCTTACGGCTGCAGATCTTGACAGCACAGACACCTTCTTCTGCATGTTGCTCTCTGCCAGTTCAGAGCGCCTCCAAGTCTCTCCCTGACTGGTCAGCCCACCCTCCCTTTTATCCCAATCATCTTCATTGGTCACAGCTGCAGCCCAGTTAAGGGCATCACAGCTGCAGCCCATCAAGGACAACTGGGACCTCCCAGGGCAAAGCCTCTATACAGATATTCAAATACAATACATTTCCTCTACTACATTTCCCCCTTTTCTTTTACTTACAGAACCAGGTTGTACATAGAGATATTTAGATGATATTCAAGTACAATACTTGGAGTACAACACACATATTTCCCCATGACTCAAAGGCCATGTACAACACACATAGCTCCTTGCTCAAAGGCCATATTCTTTCACAGCTCCTTGACCCAAAGGCTATGATCTCTTGCAGCCCTTGGCTGTCTTATCTTCTACCAACTATCCACAGTTCTTGGCTGTCTTATCTTCTACCAACTATCACATCAGGGTCACCAATTGTAGTTGTTCTTTTTCTAGAGTCCCACACGGTTGTTATCAGATCTCTAAAGTCCCATACCTCCTTGGTGTGTTCTTATGGCTGCAGGCGTTTACAAGACAGACTGCTTCTTCAGCACGTGGCTCTTTCTTAGTTGAGGGATTCTTCAAGACTCTCCCTGACTGCCCAACCCACCCCCTTTTGTCCCAGTTATCTTCATTGGTCACAGCTGCAGCCCAATTAAGGGCATCACAGCTGCAGCCCATCAAGGACAAGCAGGACCTCCCGGGGCAAAGCCCCTATACAGATATTCAAGTACAATTTCCTCTACTACACTCAGCTACTGTGAAAATGAGTGCACGAGTTTTGGTGCCCCACAGCTGCCTGGGGAATCTGAGCTTAGGGCAGATCATATTTGAAGTCTCTATTACAAAGTAAATGCAGAGTTTAGTTGTGAATTGAATTGAAGCATTTAGATATTTGGGATCTAACCAATTGTTTCCTGGAAAATCCAAAGTCTTCCTGCTAAATGAAGCACAATATATCCACAGACATGCAAGCCAGGTCTTTAATAACAACCATAAGAGAAACATGCAGCTGGCAGGAAAAAAACCCCACAGCCTGTCTAGGGTAAGATTTCCTCATTCATCCCATTGTAAAAGCCTGCAAAAGGGCTCTGGCAAATTTGCACCCAAGTCTCCCATCAGAGGCTGATGCCTGCCTAAGGCTTTCTTCCTCTTTTGTGTGTGGAAATTTCAGCTAAGAGGGCTCAGCAAGACTCAAGAATGTGGTTAGGGAATGACATTTTCCTTTATCCACTCTACAGAAATGTTTGCCACCTTTCACTGAGAAGCCCTAGAACTTTACAGGTTCTTTGAGGGCAACATCTTTTCCCAAAGCAGCCTATGGACAGCTGGCTAAGTGATGAGTCTCTAAAAACACCAGTTCATGTGTGCTGGTGGCTTTTTTGTCTCATGGGAGCACCAGAAAGCAAACCTCAGGAATGACATCCACCCTGGGCTGTCCTCAGCTGGTGCTGGGCAGTGAGAAGGGGGAGGACAACATGAAATCTGTGCAGGTGGAAAAGAGGTCCTGGGAGCTGAGCAGGAGCTCAAAAGGACACAGGTTGGGCAGGAGTGGTTATGCAGAGGAGAAGCAGGAGAGAGCAAAATGTGGGAAAGGAACAAACAAGAGTTGAGGTGTATTTCAGAAAGAGAAGGTAGAAAAAAGAGAGGAAGAGGAGCAACTGATAGCAGTATAGGAATTTTTATACCAGATGCTCTTCTACCTCCACTTGCTTTGCTGTGGAAAGGCAGGAGGAAATCTGACACAATGCTACCATCCACTCCAATTTCCCATGGACAGCAGCTCCTGCTGTAAGTCACTTGGAGGGATAAGACTCTCTCTCCCTGCATGTACATATCCAATGATCCATGTACACCAACATGCTTCCTCCAAGAGATGAAGAGGGCTGTTTTCAGCTTGTTGTCTTAGAACACCTACAGGAAATTTTTACAGAATAAAATCCCCTAAAAAAATTTTTGCTAGTGGAACATTAACATCCAAGTGCTTTATTTTTAGTGTTAAGACAGACTGACACTAAAGCTGATTTGGAAATCTTAATTTGAACCAGTTGTTCATGTAAGTTACAGCAGCATCTTTAATTATATGCTCAGTACAATTATTTCCAAAGAAGCTCCATGCAGAAAGCTCTCAGTGAGGAGGTAGCATAGATCCCTGTTCTGCTCTACTGTACAACACAAGAAAGGGAGCTATGAGAAGCGAAACGGTGGCTGAGGAAATGTAATGGTGTTTCAATTATTCCTGGCAATTAGGTACTTCTACACCTGCCACTACAGAGCTGTTCATAGGCAGTGAAATCCAGCCATGTAAACCAAAACTTCTACACATGGCCTCTGGGCATGTTTTTTGTTCCACTAGCTGTGCCCAGCCTCAAACAGCCTGTGGACATGCTTAGCCTTCAGCAGCAGCCAGTGAGGCCAGTGACAGCCGTGTTCTGGGTGTAAATTCTAACAGCATGAAACTTTCTGGGAAGCCTTTAACATCTCACTGCAGGCCTCCAGAAAGCATTGCTCTGGTTTGCCTATATGCCCTGATTATGGAGCTGGACAAAGGGCACATTAATGAAGTATTTGGACAGAAATGTGAAGGGGCCAGTGTGAGAGCAGCAGCGGTTTGTGCTGTGGGATGCACAGGGAAGCCATGGAACAATACACTGGGGAGGGAGAAGAGGTGTCAGAACCCGGTGTAACTGCTCATGGCAGGCCTGTGAGCTGAGATAGAACCTAAGGAAATATTTCTGTATTTAAGCCTAGGTCAGAGATGTATTTGAGCCATCAGCAGAGATGTTGAATGGCAGAGCTAGCCTTCATTTGTGTACTTAAGCCTTCATTTCTGTATTTAAGCCATCAGTGGAGATGGTGAATGGCAGAGCTAGCCTTCATTTGGGCTTTTCATCCTAGACCCTGATTTAACAGCTGCATAACCACTAAATATATTAAAGACAATATACACAATTAGCAGAAAAAGCAGCCAAACTGTTTTGATGCATTACCCTAGCTACAATGCCCTCCTTCTTTTTTCCCACTTGCATGTTTTCAGTTTGGATTATATTAGGTTTATTAACATATCTGCCTGCTTCCTAGTCTCCATGAAACTGATTTCTCTGAGAATGGCTATAGCAGCTCCCCAATATGTTCACGTGAACTATTTTACTTTATACAGCTCCTTCCAATGCAAACTGGTGCATCACTGACTGAAACCTGGGGGGCTATTTACAGCACCTGGTAATGCATCAGCTGAAGGGGTTTCAGTACTGAACTCCAGGAGCCTTGCACAGTGGGGGAGAGTGACTCACTCCTTCCCTGAGCTCCGTGATGGCTCCAGTTGGGAATGTAGATGGCAGACAGGACATACACCATCTGAATGCAAACACGCCACTGACAAAGATCCATTACTTTGGCGGTCTCTAACCACATTTGAATGTTCCAAACAACAAAGAGCTTAACAATTTCTTGTATGTCATGTGCTCCACCACATGCTTACTAACTGGGAGAAATGGCCCTTAACTGGAATTAGGAGTACAGACCTTACTTCAGATAGACTTTAAGAGAAATCTGACAGAAAAAGGACTCGCTTCCCCAGAATGAGCAATTAGTTGTCCTTGGTGAGTATAGCAGACAAAACTTTATTTGCAGACTTTCTACTTTCAGATTTGAACCGAGTGCATGATTAAAAAAATAAATAAAACCAGTCCTGAAAGCTATGTGAAAGATTCTATAAATCCACCAAAACACCAGTGAACAATCTTCTGCTTCACCAAGCAGGCAGCCACAGACACACAAATCCCAACACCCAACCAATGCCCATACCCATGCTCTTCCTTGCTAATACTAGTGGGGTGCAGGACAGAGGTAGAGTCAGCCATTTCCAGTTGTGCTTCCCTTAATAAATCAATTAATTATTCAATAATATGGAGAAAAGAGGAAGATGGGAACAGACAGGCAAAGGCTAGGGATATGCTCAGGTGGCTGGTGTTTCCCTTCTGCCCTGATGGGCTGCTCTGCAGAGTGCTTACCGGAATCCCTAGAGCTTTTAGAATATTCATTTTACACATCGGGCAGGTACGATGGTCTAGCAGCCAGGGGTCTACACAGGACTTGTGGAAAAGATGCCTGCAATGAAAACCAGGATATCTTAATTCAAATGCACCACAGCACAATTTACCACTTAGTACCAGATGATTGTGAATTCTTTTAAGCGAGAATGTTTCAACTGGTGCAGTTTGTGACCTCTTCAAGGACTGCAGAACTAGGTCCTATGCACATAAGGCTAAAATGATTCCTGCAGCAACTCAAGCACATGTGCACATTTCAATGTGTTGGGAATAGAAGATGTACATACTTAGAGACTTAGGGAAAATACACAAAATGCATTAGCAAACCTGATACTCTTTAAATGTTAAATGCTGCCAGTAAACAAAAGCTGCTTGCTGGAAAAGGTGAAAATCATGTTAGTTTTTCTTAATAGTTCTACAGACAAACCTGATTATACATAATTTAAATGTGAAGCCATTGAGGGTCTAGTATTTTTCAGGATAGAGGCATAAAGAAATAAACTGAATTAGAAAAAAAACAACTTTCCGTTTAAACAGAAAAACCAGTACAATGCTTTCATAAATATTCTCCCTGACTTCCCTGCTCTTTAGAAGCTGCCCATCAGAGAAAGCTCCTCCACAATCCCCTGAAGGAATTGTTGTTAATCCTGTTCTGAGTCTGAAGCAGCTACCTGAGCCCTGTGGCTGCTGGGCACCACTTTTCCTAGACATTAATCAGGTGGAGCACCTGAAAGTTTCTTATTTAGCTTTGCCTTTAACAAACTGATAATGACTGTAGGGATCTTTAGTGCCTGTACCTGACTGGCAGACTGTATTCTCTCTTGAGAGCATATTCTGTTACTACGAATACAAGAAAACATTTCTTCACCCAAAGGGTGGTCAGGCACTGGAACAGGCCACCCAAGGAAGTGGTATCTGGTTTGCTTGAGTTTGTTAGTTCAATGTTAATTCATTATGTCTTACCTTTCAGCTACATGAGATAATAATGAAATTGTTGTTAGTGATAGGTTTCTTTAATTACATAATCAAATTCATAAATACTCTTATTGGCAAACATTTGAAGCACGTTTGTGCCAAAATAATCGGTCCATTTACAAAACCTGAGATATTTATTAATCTCTCAGAAAACAAAACAGATTTCCAAGATCTGTTTTGAATAAAAAATAAATAGTTTCCACCAAGACATTTTACCATGGACCAGAAAATTCCCTTTTGTTTTCAATTTCCAGCTTTGAAAGCCTCAGTCAAACTGGAGTTCATATTAGAGAATTTCATGATGTTTGTTCATCATCAAAAGCTTGGAACACTTTCATGCCGTAAAGACTTTAGAATCTCAAGTTCAGTGTTCCTAAAGTTGGCTTCAAAAACAATATTCTAAAATAAATCCTACCAATGCCAAGTAATTTAAAAACATGACAGATCTTGTCACTTTGCACATCTCAATACTAATTTAGCACAGTGTATTATGACTCCATTAATTTCAGATTTAATATGTACTACAGAGGGAACTTGATTATTTGACAGAAATCCACAGAATAATGGAATGCTACTGAAAATCAGATGAAGATTTGCCTTTTAAAAATTTTTTACTGCATTATACGATTAGAGCTCTTATAATATCTGTTTTGAACATGTAAACATTTGTGCAGAAAAGCAAGGTGGCAGGCTTTGCAGATTTGGATTTGAAAGTTTATTAGGTATAGCACTATGTAGATGCTTATGGCATTCAACTAACAGTCAATTGTTTTATGTTCCAAATTCAAGCAAAAGACACATACTCAGCATAAAGTATGATGAGAGCAACTACAGCATTTCACTGTCCCCTGGTAAGACAAAGATGTAAAAAGATCAACTGCAACAAAAATCCCTCCCTTTGCAGTTCTGACTGATGCAAGTTTTAAATGGAAAGAGACGATGGAGTCATCATGGGGGATTTCAGAAGTAATGACCCAAACAGGAAAACAGTAAGAGATGTTTCAAGCTCAGGCTCAGGACATGGCTTTGACAATCAAAGTCAAAGCTACAAAAAAATACAGATTTTTTTCCCTATTGTGTGCAACCACATTCATTACAAAATGATGTTGATTTGAAAAGTTTCTCAAAAGAACTGCAATTGATGAGTTGACAGAGAGGAAGGCGAGATGCTGTCACAGCCTCAAGAGGATTTTTGTAAGGGAAAGGAAACAACTGTTCCCCACCTCTCCCAGGGATAAGAAGCACAATGATGTTTTTAAACTGCAGCAAGTGAGATCCAGGTTACACAATAAGAAAGCCTTCACCACAGTCAAGGGAATGAAGCAGCACAATAAATTCCCAGGGCGTTTGCAGCCCTCATCCCGGGAGACTGCAGAGTGTGTTGGAAAAAGCTGCCAAGAACGACGTGTGCGTGCCAGGGCCCCTGTGCTGCTCCAGAGGTGCTGCCTCCCTGGGATCCCTCCTGCACTCCCCTGTGGCTGCACGGGGCTCAGCTCACAGAGCACAGAGCAAAAGAACCTCAAAGTCCCAGAGCATTCCATTTACTGCTGTCTAAATAGCACTTCACAGTTTTTTAACTGGACGTTGCTTTTGCTTGAAATGTATTTGTGTTTTTTTTTAAAGATGCAATTTTAATCCTACAAGGAAAAAAAGATCATGTTGCACTCAGTCCATAATAATAATAATAATAATGATGATGATGCTGATGATTATTATTTTAGTACAACTATTGTAAAGTGTTCAGCTTGCCAACAATTATGAGAGGCTTTTTTTCCAGATTAAGGGAAACTATTCTCCTCCCAGCTTCCACTCCTAGTCTCACCTATGCAGAAAGAGAGGTACATCCCTGATAACCCCAAGAGCAACAGTTGCCTGGATTAGACCTAGGGCTGAAGTAAAGGATTTAGAATTTTTGTGAGAGACTGAGTAGCACTGTAGTATCCAACAACAAGGTTTGAGATTTTGAGGGGTGCATGTACAGTATTATTTGCTTCTGAGGAGGACAAAAGAAGATGATGAGGGTGAGAGGAAGGAATGAAAGGGAAGAATGTGTGTGATGAAATAATTTTCACAGGAAGCTAATAAAAAGAGAAAGCAGGAGGGAAAACTGAAATCATAGTTGTTCATGGAGTGAAGGTTCAGGGAAAAAGAATGAGTTGGAACAAGGTCAGATAATGTGTTTATTTGTGAAAGAAATGAAATGGCAAAAACAAGAACCTATGAGGCACTCAGCAGAGTTAAGGCTGAAAGAAATGCCTTGCCTCTCTACAGAAGTTCAGTTAGTAAAAGTTCAGTAAAAGGCACACACTGGGAGCAGCAGGACCAGTACCTTCTCCAAAGCTAGAGCTGAAAAGGCAATGGTGTTTTGAAACAGCAGATGGAAGACAAGCAGAATGAAGTAAGGCTGTGACAAGAGATGCCACTCCAGGAACAATGAACTCGGCTACATCTGATCTTGTGTCAGTGCCCTTAAAGACAACTTCAGACATGTTTGCTACCACTAAACTTAAAACCAGCTGCAAGTCAACACTTTTTACTTTTACCAAATGTCATTCCTTATTTATTTAATACACTCTGTAGAGTGAAGTTTATTACTTCAGTCAGCTGTGGGAGCTACCTGACGAAGACACAGGGGAAGAAGCACGAGTTCACTTGTAATTCTCCTCCGAGCTTTCCAGAGTGGGGTACATAAAAACAGCTATCCAGAGCCAGCAGAAAAGAGAGGACATTTGGGAAAACAGCCCAAGTCCTAGTAAACATGTATATTTTTTTACTTCAGAGCTCATCCACTGCTATACTGGAGGTTTAATGAGGTTCCCATGTTAGAAAATGCACATGGCTTAACTGAGGATACTGGAGCAGGAAAACTACAGAGTCTGTAGGTCTTTATCAAGATGTAACACTCTCCTATTCACTTCAAAGGAACAGAAATGAATCCACTTTTTGTTTTGGATGAGGAGATGAGATTGAAAACAGCAGAAAGAATCATGAATACCATTTTCATGTTTCAGAAGTTGAAACCCATGCAAGTATGTAAAACACTGCCCTTGCAGTTTCTGTAGCAGGAAAGCCAGGGCTTGGTGAAATAGCTGCTTGAGAAACATCTTTGAGTTTTTATAACTCCAGACTGCTAAGGCTCAAACTGTGGGTATTTTACAAGACAGTTCTGCTACTGCTACCCTTTTAGCATGAGTCATTTTCTGGGTGACCTTTTAAGTCAGCCAAGAACTAAACACCACCTGTTAACTCTGTGTTTCCTGTTCGCTCTGCTTGACACAACGCTCGTGGATGACAAAGGCTCATTGAATTATGAGGTGGGACACAAGTGAAAGCTAAAGCTTAGACATATATTTAAGCTGTTGTAGATCTACCTCAAAACATTGCCTGTCTCTATAATGCAAAATTTCCAAGCTTTATTCTCCTTCTGTACAAACAGGCTTGATGCCAAACCAAGGTCCACATTTTCTGGTAGTTTCTCATTTTTCTGTATTTCTGCTTCATGAAGTGATGTGTTTGTGTCTGCTTATAGAAAAAAAAAAGAGTTCACATGCAATTTGTCATTGTGGGGAATCTACAGTAGGTCAAATTTGTGATTAATCTGTTGCTTTGTGTTACCCACTTAGTGATGGCAGTAAACAGATTTAATGAATCACATGAACTAACAGAAATGGACAGCTTGTAACATTCAAATATCTACTAGGGTACAAAACAGCAGGAAAATAAACAAGTATTTTGGTTTCTCAAGCCAGTGAACATGACTCAGGAGAAGAAAGAAGTTCTACTGAAAAAAAATAAAATCTCTGCTCTATATGTGCAGCACTTTATATGTGCATTTCTATGGAAATCAAGCACTTGCTCGTGCTCTCCTAGGGGCAACTGATCCTAGGAAATTTCCTGAGAAATTGATTTCCTTAGAGAAATTTTCCATTAGGTAGCACTTCACAAATGACAGTACCATGGCACAAAGATGAATACAGCTGTTAGGGGTGGCTAGAGGCTGCACTCCTGTGCCACATCCCTGGGGGTGGATGTGCTGCACAGGGCATCTTCACACCAGGCATGTTTTACTCCCTACATCTCTTTCTATGGCTGCACATTTTTTCTGACAAAAGTCATCTTTTTCTCAGGCCCAGGACAGCAGAAGAAGCAGCTCAATGGGGAGCAGGAGGCTGCTCTATCCTTGGCTGCTGTGGCCAGGGCTCACCCTCAAGTCAGAGGCTAATCCTCCTAAGGCATTCATTCTAATTAAAAAAACAGTGAGGAAATCAGATAAATCAAAACTTTAGTTTAAAAATCCTACTGAAGACTTTATTATAGGCTCAGGTCAGACAAAATTTCTGACTACCATACGAAACCCTCAGGGTCTCACCACCATCACTAGTTTCCCTTCATGTTGAATAAAGAGGCATTTCAGATATCTTTACCAACAGATTCGGAATAGGCCAAAATAATAAATTCACCCTTCCCTCCCCGAGTTCTCAGGTAATCTCATCAATGTGAAACTGAGAGCAGAGACTGTCTTGAAGTAGAGATTATTACAACTAAAAGCACATTCAATTTACCTGCAAGGCAATATCCTGACAACATCATTGGGCTTGTAGCCTTCGATACAAACAGCACAGTTATCAAAGTCTGGCTCAGTCTCCTACAGGAAAGAGAATATTCATCATATTTATTTTTTATTTTGTTAGCTAATCTCTTCATACAAGAGCCTATGTGACAAAGTAAAACAGTCACTGAAGCACACTGCAAATCCAGTAATGCATTTCACAACCAGCAAGTCAGATTTTCTGACATGTTTCCAGCTGGAAACTTGCACTGGGAAGCATGCAGATTTAGTTTGTATGTTTTAACTTTCAGAATTTTTTGCATCTTTAACCAAATCACCCCCTCTCCACACTCAGTTTCATCCGTAACTTGCTTACCAGCACTCCTAGCTAAATAAGCAATTGGCATTTCTCTTCTGGCTCATTGCTCCAGAGGTCTGAAGGAATCCTCAGCACAGAGTTTAATTTAGGTAACAAGCATTTTGAAAAATTACCTTGTCACCTTTCCTGATGGTCCTGACTTGCAGCTTGCTGATTGCTTTCTTCGCAGCATCTCCAAGCCGGCGCTGCAATACAAAATTTACCCTTAAGCAAAGAGCATCTCTTCATGCACAAATCAAAACTTTTTCTCCCTAGGCTTCTTAATAATTTTAACTACATGGAACAGGATAGTGTATAAAGAGAAACATAATAATTCATAAAAAGGGCACAATAGGTGTTTGACACTGCAGCAGTGCGTACCAAGGTAGGTAACAAGTCCATTATTTGGTTATCCTACTTCTTTCCTCTCTTTTTTTAATGACACTTGTTAAAAAAAAAATACTGGGCAGTTAGCAGAGTGAAGGCTGAACTTTATTCTTACACGGTTCCATAACTAGCTCATGATCTTAAGCAGGATACAACTTCTGAAAGTGAGCTGTTACATTTTTTAACTACAAAAACTCTGAATAATCTCTCCTGTCTTTTTTCCTGCAATACAGAGCTGCCTATTTTATAAAAATGAGGTGGAAGCATCTGCAGTTTCTTACAGGTAAAGCACTATATAGTCCTGCAGTAACATCCTGTCCATACATAAGCATTTACTCATTCTTTGCCTTTCTATCATTTCCTCCAGTGGACCATAAAGTTATTACCACGTGATGTTTCTGACTGTTCTCCCGTATTTCCAAAACACTGTTACTGTGCTGGCAGGGTCACAGCCACCAGGATTAAAGTATGTAATAACAGCCTGACACAAAACACCCTGTCCTCAGACACTGCAAATGGACATGTCTGCTCCTTGCAAGACGCTGGGAACACTGCAGGGCAGTGCACACAGTCACTGGTCTGCACCCTATGCTGTGCAGCTCCTTCCTGTGTCAGTGCTCCAAGGACCTGGCTGCTCACTTGTGCTAATCCAGCAACAAGGCAGTCTGGAGGCAGACTCACAGGCTGGAAAAGTCTTTGGGAGGTCATGTATTCCCACCCCCTGCTCAAGGCTGGATCAACTTCAAAGTCAGAGCTGTGTTAGTCAAGTTTTGACTATCTCCAAGAAAGGAGATTTCACAACCTCTGTGGATAATTTGTTCCAGTGCTTAACCAATCTCAGCCTTTTTTCTTCTCTAAACATACTAATGGAATTTCCCTTTCTGGTAATTTGTGACCATTACCCTGTGCACTTCCAGGAAGAGGCTGATTCTGACTCCTCTCTGACCACCCTTTCTGCAGCTGGAAGCAGAGCCCTTCCTCCTCCTTGGCTCCCCACCCAGCCTAGTGTGCTCCCTTCACCCCTCCTCAGATGCCACATGCTTCTGCCCCCAGACCCTGCTTTGGGCACTCCTCATTTTTTCTATGCCTCTCCCACATGGTTTCATGCAGCAATGCCCACTCCAATGTTTTCTTTACAACAGTTCATGATACAGCATGTTCCAATTTGCCACCAATAAATGACTTGAACTCTTCCCTTCACCTCCTTTCCCCAAACACATTTCCAGCCATGTGTTGCTAGGGAGAAGAGAGACTTAGGGCCTTTGGTGATCCAGAAGACATTCAACTTTCTGAGCTGGGAAACTCCAGTGCCAGAGTTCAGAGGGGCCTGTCAGCAGGAAGGGTTTCCAGCTGGAGGGGGTGAGAGCGTGCGGCCAAAAACAGAAGAAAGTTTGAGGTAATTTATAAGTTGAGACATAATCACACAGATATGGCCACTAAATTGCCACTTTGGTCTTCAGATTCAATTAAAGTCACTAGATTAAATTTAGAGATTAATTTTGTTGGATTGGAAAGGCTGACAAAACACATGCAATATTGAAAGCAGAGTACAATTTTAGATCTGGCTAAAGAGGTGAAGACAATCTTGGCTATCCGGAGATTTACATATGAGCTTTCCAGCAACTTAATTATTGCATGTGAAGGAGTATCTTGTTAGACAGCATCTCTTTCTGTGGTCCATCTTTCTCAGAGTCTCCCTTAAATAAAAGCATCAGTGAGAGTTGGAAACATTTCTTGTCAGCTATTTGGTTCTTTAATGTAAATCAAAGACAGACTGATAACATACAGCCAGACAAGAGCCATTATGTCATGCTTCAGAAAGTGCTTGTGATCCCTTTTTATCATTATCATTACTTTAATGAATGAAATGTCTCAGTTCTTTTTTGCACATTCTTGAAGGGGAAAGGACAAGATTAAAAACTCCTGTACATCTTTGATTTGATTGCTTTCATGTTTGCTTTCTCTTATCTATCGTAAATAGATAAGTTCATAACTTACACGTAAATGAGAATAATTTCATTTTTGAAAGAACAGGAATTTCTTGGTCTAAAGTAATAATTTCAAAGGATTCTCCCATTTGAATGCAAGGCATGCTATCAATAACCAATTATTTTTCCCAAAAGATAAGAGGCATTACAGCAGTTTAAGTGTTTAAAGTGAGGCTTAGAGATTTACAGTCATAAATCTCATAATCTCATTAGCAATGCTGCAACATTCAGTACTGGACTGGAAGGAGTTAAGCATGTCAGATGCAGTGGTCTTGAGGAGATGGCAATGCTCATTAAAAAGGAAGGACAGTCCCATGGAAAGGACCACTTATGTGTTCCTGAGAAAGTAAATGACCGTGGATGCTGTGGAGGAGAAGCTACAGTAAGTGCTTCTCCCTTAATGGCCTTGCTGAACTATCATCTCTGCAAGGAGATCACCTTGTGCCTTGTGCAGAGTGAGCTGCACCACCAGCATGAGGCAATGGACACATCTAAGCACACACAAAGGCTGCAGACTCCATCATGGGAAGCATCTTCCCAAATTGCTTCCAAGACTGACATCCCTATTCAGGGGCCCAAAACTCTCATTCCAAGCCACAGCCACCAGTATTCCTTCTCAGATAAATGCTCTACATGCTGACAGTCACATACTAAAGATTAACCTGGGACACACAAGATCCTTCTCAAGCACAGTGCAATCACTACCTGCTTTGGCTTCCACTATCCTGCAAAACTTAAGGACTCCAACCAGTTTCAAAACGACTGTGTAGAAAGCTTCCTCTGAACAAGAAGCCAATGGAAAGAAGGGACATGGAAAAATGTGGTAAATAAGTCTGGCATTGAAACATCATCCTCTCTTCATTTTCACATCTCCCAGACAATAAAAAGAGAGCTCTACTATTACTGGTGAAATATGAAAAACTCTGACAGACTGACAGGGTGGGTTTGTTGTTGTTGTAGCTGTTTTTAAGTCTGTGCCCTGGCTGTTACAGGGCTGTAACATCAGGTCATATTTTGCTGAATTATTTCTGGAACTTAACTTGTCATGTAATTCTAATTCTGCTTCTAATTAGCTCTACAATGTGATATTTCTTGATTTAAACAATTTCCACAGTCTTTTACAAAGTCTCTCAACTCCCTCATCTTCAGGAGCCCTCCAGGAACAAGCTGCTGAGGAAACAGATTTTCTTACACAAATTTATTCTCTTCATGTCGAAAAGATTCATCATCAAGGCAACCACAAACCTCCTGCACATCTCATTAGGTGGGAAAAAAGGTTCAATCAACGTGAATACTATTAACTATCTTCTACTTCCATATGTAATGTACAGTTGTCTGTGCTAGAGGTACTCTTAAAAATTAAATGTATTAAAATAAAAATTGATATCTCACCACGTTTGTAGCTGATACCCTGGCTGTAGGTGCACAAGCCCATAGTGGAAGACAATTCTGTGCTCCACTGCATTGATCCTCAGCCAAGTGGGGATGAATAGACCCTGGCATTCAGCAAGAATCTTTGAATTCCTGATTCTCCACTCATCAAAATCAGGCACCTAATTGGAGTAAGCTGTGTCTTCCTTCTGGCCTGTGAATTTAGATTTTGCACACATGATGAGTAAGAGTGGTGGCTGAAGATGTAGATGGACTCTGTCCAGGTTTCATCTCACTGTGGAGTCACAGGAAACAATTCCAGGAGATTTTTCAGTCTTTCTAGCTGCCTCTCTCAATAGCTGGACTCATTGTTTTCTTGATGGTAACTAAATCACTTTGTTTTGGATTTACTGCTTGCTCAGAAACTTACTCCTAGTGAAAGAAGGGAAGTGGACCTGGAGAGTCACCAGATAGAGAAGGACTAGACAAAAGTGTTTATGAGGCCTGACAAAAGGACAGTATGATTTTAATCAGAAATTGGTGATCCCATCCTTGAACCACAAGAGAATGTGCCAAAGAAAAAGAAAACCCAGAACCTGATGGAGAACAAAGAGGAACACTCATGGGAAGGGCAAGAGCAAGCTGAGCTCTTCTGAACTACCTACATCATTATATTCTATAGCCAGGACTAAAAGAAACAAAACTAAAAAGCCACAGCAACCCATCAACAGAAATGATAGAGTTTTGTTTGTATATTGCTACTGTTTTCATATGGAAAGAGCTAATAAAGAGACTAGATGTCAGACAAAACTGTATGAAGAAAACTGCATGAAGACTTTTTAGGCTGGCCCTTATAATTGCCCAGTTTTTCCCTTCAAAATAATAATATTAATAATTAATAATATGTAATTACTTAGGAGGCTTCCTTTCTAATTCTTCTGAAGAACAGAACTAGTATAATAACCAAGTTGTTAAAACCTCTCCATAGGACAACTGCTTGTGCACACGTAGGTCTCATTTCAACTTTGGAAAGAAAATACTGAAAAGGAAATATGTTTGAATGTACAAACACATCAGTTTCAAACTATAACATATTACCTGAATGAACTTCCTATTTTGCTGAGTTTCATGTTTATGTATGTCTATTTACACTGCTAAGCTGCCTGTATAATTACTTGACTAAAAGCACACTTAGTCACACACACAAATTAGGCACGCATGTGGCTTTTGCAGACAAAGCATCTAAAAATTATCACAGACGTTGCAGTCACAGTGAATCTGCTGCCAATGATGTTCAAATTCCAGCTGGGATAGTCTCGTTCTTGCTATCCAAAATTCCAGACTGTATATTTAAATGGAAAATACATTCTTTCTGTCTGTAAATACAGTGCAGCTGCTCTCTATCTCAGAGAATGCCTGAATTTCAATGGGGGAAGGCGAGGGATTCCTACACGTCAAGTATTTGTTACAGAGGGTGTAGCAGGGCTTTTCTCTACCAAGTGATAATTCATACTCTGAGTTTTACCTTTCCTGCAGAATAAGCCAGGTAACCCTCCTGGCCCTGACAGTAATTTATTGAGGGTTCAGAAACCTCTCTGAATTACAGTGCATTTTTTACAGTGCAGTAAAATGGTTATCTCTTCAAATTTCATATGTTGATAACATTTTCTACTGTACCATTAGAGTGAAATGTACAAGCCTCAGCTTCCCAGTTCTGCTGAGATAGTTGCATCTGGCCAAGAAATTATTAAATTTATTATTATTGTTGCTATTATTATTCACTGCTGAACTACATAAAGATGGGCAGTGCTTTACAAAACCACTGCTACTGACTTGTCTTCAGCTCTATAGGCTTTTTATCTCTTTCATGGGCTTTGGACAAGATGCCAAAACCAATAACAATGGTTTAATACCATTAGTGGCTATCACTACAGTCCTGTTCAGTGATCATTGTCAAATGAAGAGCGACATAATTGTCTTTCTAGCCCAAGATCCTTCTAAGGAAGCATTAAAGTGAGAATAGGTTTTTTTTCCCCTTTCCTCACTCATCAAGAACATTGCTTGACACACACATACCTCACAATGTTTTAGTCAGCATTTTGATCTCAAGGGTCTTTAGTTATACACATTGCTATGACATTTGGCTATATGTACCACAACAATATTTTCACAAATAAACATCACCTTTCTGTCTATTGTTTTGTGCTTTGCATAAGGAAAACAACCTATAATACACATACATTATTAATTTCTGTTTTTTCTTGAATCCCATCTATACTGACATAAGTTATGGATTTTCCCAGTCACAGTCATTTTAATATTCCTATTCTTTTCACTTTCTTGGGCTTTCTTTTGGTTTTCTGTTTTTACTACACATAGACAATTTCTTTCACTTTTACTTCTACAATAAATCCCGTGGTGATCTTTTGGAAACACAATGAGTTACTCCAGCCCTGCTCACCTGATTTCTGTCTCTGGCATTTGCGTAGCGGAATCTCTGGATGTAGTAGAAGACCAGCCACGCCAAGGAGATGATCATCAGCACAATGAAGGAGATGGAGACGAACACCACCGAGGTCCGGCTGACGTACTTCTGCAGGTTGCGTGTCCCGATGGTTATGTACATCATCACAGTAATGTTCCTCTCCAGGAGGCTCACTATCTCCTTCCCTTTGGGCTCAGGAATCATTATTGCTACAACATCTTCTAAGCCTATCACACAGAGAGAGAAAAGGAACCTTATGTAAATCAAGTGATCACCAAAAGGCAATCATAGAATCACAGATTATCCTGAGTTGGAAGGGACTCACAAAGATCACTGAAGTCCAACTCCTGGCCCTGCATTGGACATCCCAAGAATTCCACCATGTGCCTGAGAACTTTGTCCAAATGCTTCTTGAACTCTGTCAGGCTTGCTTCTGTGACCACTTCCCTCGGGAGGTTGTTCCAGTGCCCAGCTATCCTTTGGGTGAAAAGTCTTTTCATAGTATCCAACCTAAATCTCCCCGGACACAACTTCATGCCATTTCTTCGGGTCACATAACTGCTCACGAGAGAAGAGATCAGAGCCTGCCCTGCTGCTTCCCCTCCTGATGAAGTTTTAACTGCAGTGAGGTCTCCCCTCAGTCTCCTCCTCTCCGGGCTGAACAGGCCAAGTGACCTCAGGCACCCCTCACACAACTTCCCCTCCAGGCCCTTCCCCACCCTCGTGGCCTCCTTTGGACACTCTCCAATGGCTCCATGCCTTGTTTCCATTGTGCACCCCACAGTGCCCCCAGCCCTCGGGGTGAGGCCGCCCCGGCGCAGAGCAGAGCAGGACAATCCCCTCCCTTGCCCAGCTGGCCGTGCTGTGCCCGATGCCCCCAGGACACAGCTGCCCTCCCGGCTGCCAGGGCACTGCTGACTCACACCCAGCTTTGCATGGAGCAGCACCCCCAGGGCCCTTGGCACAGCGCTGCTCTCCAGCCTCTCATTCCCCACTCTGCCCCTGCAGCCAGGGCTGCCCCATCCCAGATGCACAATCTGGCACCTGCCCTTGTTGAACTCCCTATGGTTGGTGATTGCCCAGCCCTCTGATTCATTCAGCTTTGGCAAAAAAAAGAACAAGAAATCTGTGCTTTCTTCTGCTCTTCCCTCCTGTTTACCAAGAGGGAAGTCAGATGCATCTGGTGAAGGTTTCAACTGAAACCAGATACACAATGTGTTTCTACGTACTAATCTTGGTGACATACGTAAAATGTGTTCCATAGGTTGACATAAACACAGATTTCTAGCACTACTGAGGCTTATCTGGATGACAGTGCTGTAAACACTGCAAAAAGAGAGGTACACTGCATCCAACACTCCATATCCATTTATGACAGCCTGTTTTGCAGGGTCATGAGTCTGTCAGAGAAGCCCCTCCAAACTCTGCATTCAGATCAGAAACACTTCCAGTCACAGATTCCCACACGGTTTCACAACCAGAATACACCAAAGCATCACTGCTCTTGCACCAGGCTGGCAACCAAAGAGCAGCTCAACATGTTCCCAGTGGCTCCCCACAGCCCAAGGCCATACAGCAATTTGTGACTCTTTCCCGGGAGCTTGACTCTCCAAGTGATAAAATTTACAGTCAAGGTCACTGTTTAATTCCACAAAAAATTGCCTCTGCAGCCCAGATCAGCCCCTGACATAGCATGCAGCATGGCTCCACAAGGATGCACGTCAGCACTGCTGAGGCAGCAAATTCCCACTAATGGGATGAAGCAGGGACTTCCTACAATCCTGCCAAGCCTTCTGTCATGACCCTGTGAACTGGACCCTCCACTGATCTAGCTACCCTCAACTTTACACTGGCTTTCCCCTCTGTACAGCACTTTTTGATGTTACTTTCATCAGAAATTGCTGAAAGTATTTTCTTTTTAATTTTAAATCCCCTGTGTACATGAAATATATGTGGTCTGAAATTATCTGGCAATCACCAGGTTGTTAAATGCCTTTAATGGCCTCACAAATAAATGATCACTGCTTTACAGTTTAATATTAGGGATATTCTGTTCTTTCACTTCATGGAACAAGCATGTAGACAATTTTTACACCTAAACTATGTTTTGCAATAGCCAATTGTTCTAAGTAGCTAAGGACAGACAGGGTGTACTGTAATGTAAAAATGTGCTAGCAACAACAGCAAATGAAATGATCACAAACTGGCATTCAGAAAGGTAAAACTGGGAGTGTCTGAACTCAAAGAGCTGTGCTGGGGTGGGGCCTCAGAATTTGACATGAAATCCCAGGAAATCGGCTGATGTTGTTAATCCCATGGCTGTCTGTAATTTTACTGTGGCAGGAGGAGAAAGCACTGCAGTCATGGGGCATTCATGGAGGTGTGGGAGGGTGACTTGCATTTTCAACAGCATCCCTCTCCCTCCAAGCTGGTACCCAATGTGAGCTTCACCAGTTCAGCACTGTATCCTGGTCTTCAAAGTCCAGCTCAGACGTTTCTTCACTAAGAAATCCTGGGAGGTATGGACCAGATTTTCAAATGGATTTGGATGCTGAAGGCCATGAGGTGTTTGGCAAGACTTTGGATATACACATGGGGGTGGTGTTCAGCAGAAAACCCTAATTGTGGTGGAAACTTCATAAAATTCTGCTGGGTGCCTGCATCAGCTGGAGGCACTGAAATAGCTGTGGCAGACTGCTGCTACTCAGAGAAATCTGTCATGAAGCTGGGAACTGAGCCCTCGTCTCTCAAGGCTCCGAGCACAAGAGCAAACACCACCCCTCTTTCTCTCTAGAGGCTTCCCATCATAATACTTCCCTGATTATGAACAGGTCACTCAATGAATAGAGAGGATCAAATGTTTGGCTGAGTCAGGAGTTTTAGATATTCATGACTGGAAACTTAACCTTCCTGCTGATAGTATAAAGCATTAATGTTTTTCTGCTATTCCCCTTTATTTTTTTCTAGCAAGAGTCTACCATCAGCAGTCAAGATAAATCTAGCCTTGCAACTCTTCTGATACCTATTTATTACAAAAGGCTAATGCAAACATTACCCTAATGGCCTAGGGAAAATTTGCCAAGTCTCAAAGTGGCTGAGAAGGGCACTGGTGCCATGCCAGTAATTTTCCTGCAGTCAAAAAGAAAAATTGTCTGGAGCAGGGCTTCGCTGTCCACATGACTTCCTTTGTTCTTTTCTCCATCTTAAAAAAAAAAAAATAATCATTCAACAGGAAAACTAAAGCACCAATCTCATGCATAGCCAAAAAAAAAAACAACCCACAGTGAAAAAATCCACAGCCAATATTACTGAATTTAATCAACCGCTCTCAAAAGCCACCACTCTGTCCAAATGGCTTATCCAGTACTGACCTTGAACATCATGGTCAGTACAATCTAGGACACTGCATGGATATCACCTGAAAGCCCATGAAAACGGAGATAGAGACAAACCCAGCAGAAAACACAGGTAGTATCTTAACAATTTAATCATCTTGAATCTTGCACATCTTAAAAAATTTAACAATGTGTTTAACTATGTTCAATTATATTATAGTTTAATATAGCTTTAATATATTTCTGGGCACAGGACACTAAGCAAATTGCCATGGATATATACTAAATAAAACTTTTTCAAAATGCAATGTAGAAGACTATTATTCCAAGAGGAAAACAGCTGCTTTTACTTATTCAAATCCTTAATATATTAAAATTTCAGGCTATCTGGTTATTTTCTTGGAAAATATTACCATTTGTAACAAAGAATTGTTGGAAAAAACAACAAAATAACCAGAGCAGTGACAAATAACAATCAGATTTTTTTTTTGTTTTACTGATTTTATGATAATTTCTCCAAGACATTATAGAAAATGCTATTTATCAATCATGCTATTAAGCTATGTTTTAAATCTCAAATATGTTCACATTAGGAAGAAAATAAAAGAAAAATAAAGTAATTTATAATTTATTTTTCTTTTATCCCTTTTTAAACAAAATATTTGTATTATCTCAGTTTCACATAAACTGCAACATATGTAAAAAGTATACAAATTAAAGAAAGGAAATAACATAATGAGACATCAGTGTTAGAGGGGCATTTTTATGCCCCAGTACACATTTTCTCAACAGATTTAAAAAAGAGAAAGGATCTAGTAACATGTACTGATGCTTCCCTGGCAAGTTAAATGCTACCCCTGCCTTTCATTAAACACACCCACAGTGGGAACTGCATTTTGTGGCACTCTTGTTCCCTAACACATTTCTTTTCTTTTTCTGGCCAACATTAATGCAGAATTTGACATGAATTTTTAAGCAGCTGTCAGGATGAATCAGAGATCCATAAATCAAATGTATTTAGGCTGCAGTGAATGGATTTTATTCTTCTTTTTTTTTGGCTAGGAAACATTTAACATATCAGTGCTCTCTCCTAATGAAACAAGTAAGGCAGAAATCACAGGCATTTGGGATGATTGAAGTTTTACCTTGCTGAAGCATCCCTGCCTAATTGAATATTTCTGGGTGGAGAAAATGCGTGCTTCGGAAAAAGATCCAGAGGACCCTCTCCAAACCCACCCTCCCCATGCAGTACTTGGCCATGGAAATACATTTCAGCAGGTAAGACTTCATGCCAAACCTGCAAGCTTCAAAGGTAACCATCTATTCACTAGTGACAGAGGAAATGAAAGACTTGAGTGCAGGAACAGTGGCTTTTGTAGCAGAAAGGAACAAGTTTTACACCCAGAAGATGTACATAAATGCTACACCTTAGCTGCAGGCTGTGCTTACAAACCTGTGATATTCCTTGATTTTGCTCTGGGAGCTTTCAGAGGTGACACTAAACACAGTCCTCTCTTCTCATTAGCAGTCAGGCCCAGCAGTGGCAGGGCTGCTCTTTTAATGCTTTGTCAGTTTTTGATGGAGACTCTAAAACGTGGTCTTTCTGACACATTTTAGAATAGGCAGTTTAATTCTTCATGCTTGGCAACAGCTAGAAGTCAGTCAGAGAAGTTAACTGAACTATTTGGACAGAATTTCAATTGGGGAGGCATATAGAGTCTTCTCTCCAAGATATACTATCAAGATATAAATAAAGATTTGTCTTATATTGTAGATCAAAATCAAGAAGTAAAGATTTTTTAAGTGAAAATCCAAATACTACTCTGAATTCAGAAATTGCCCTGACATTGCCCTGAAATTGCCCAGTGTTCAATCTGACTCCAAGCCCAGGA